TAGTAGAATCGTCACTCGGCAACCGTAGCCGGACAATTGCTAGTCTGATATAGCCTTTAGGCTGATTCCCATGCAGCCTAACTCGCGTAAGCGTAAACTGCGTCATCCAACCAAATTGTCTTAGCTACTCTACACAAATCCGTCTAGACTCTTATTAGACGATTTGATTAGTTTACGCTTACGCAAGTTACGCTGCATGGGAGTCATAACCCTTAACCTACCCAAAGTACATACATGGGAGAATTCTGGTGGTATTTCTGAACGTAGTCTAATTTGGCTGCGTTGGTTGGCTGAGACCCATGCACATATTTAATCATATTTAAGGACTACAGCGTTTTATTACGTTTGCGTTGTTTGAAAAACATTATTATCATTAAAGATGTCGGTAAGATTTCTTATTTGATTAAATCTGTCATAAGCATGTTTGTCTAAATGAAAAACTATATAATCTTTTATTACAATATCTTGTTATTATAATAAGAACAATTTATTTGCGCGCGATGCCGGTTAACCTACCTTTTTTAATATACATGTGCCTGAAGAATGTTTTATTCGTATCTTGTATATTTTTACGAAAACATATATTGCTGAATTATGAAAATATTAGCTCGTTTTTATAAATGTTTATGTAAATATTTATTGATATAAATTGATTGAAATATTATTTTATAAATATTATTTTATAAATATTATTTTATGTATGCCTTATATCAGTTGACATAGCAACTGAATAATCTGTTTGATCAATTTGATTGCAGTTATGTATAAATTGCATATTAAACCTTCTATCACATTCAATTGTTATTTTTTATTTCAGATGGTTGCTAATATACAAGAAGTTCGCGAGATCACTAAAATAGAACGCATTGGTGCTCATTCTCACATTAGAGGTTTAGGACTGAATGATAGTTTAGAACCTCGCAATGTAATTATTTTGTATATTGCAAAAACTCGATATTCGCATGCATTAATTATAAATAATATAAAAGCTAAAATTCTTTTCCACTATATTAGGTCTCCCAAGGTATGGTTGGTCAGCTTATGGCACGTCGAGCTGCTGGCGTTATCCTGGAGATGATTAAGGATGGTAAAATAGCAGGTCGTGCAGTTCTATTGGCTGGACAACCCGGAACTGGAAAAACCGCCATTGCTATGGCAATGGCACAAGCTTTAGGTGTAGATACTCCTTTTACATCAATGGCTGGTTCTGAAATTTTCTCTTTAGAAATGAGTAAAACAGAGGCTTTAACTCAAGCTATTAGAAAGTCTATCGGAGTCAGAATTAAAGAAGAGACAGAGATCATAGAAGGTGAAGTAGTAGAGATTCAAGTTGATAGACCAGCAACTGGAATTGGAGTAAAAATTGGCAAATTAACATTAAAAACAACCGAGATGGAAACAATTTATGATTTGGGAAATAAAATGATTGATTGTTTAATGAAAGAGAAAGTTGGTACATTTTATGTCGAATAGATTATATCTTATTTGTCTAACCTTATATTGTGACTTTGTTACTAACTTTAGGTACAAGCTGGTGATGTTATAACAATCGACAAAGCTACAGGAAAGATCAATAGGCTTGGACGATCCTTTACCAGAGCTCGAGATTACGATGCTACAGGCTCACAAACACGTTTTGTTCAATGTCCAGAGGGCGAATTGCAGAAGCGCAAGGAAGTTGTGCACACCGTGACATTGCATGAAGTCGACGTGATTAATAGCAGAACTCATGGTTTTTTAGCATTGTTTTCTGGAGATACAGGGGAAATCAAATCAGAAGTACGAGATCAAATAAATGCCAAAGTTGGGGAATGGCGAGAAGAAGGCAAGGCAGAAATAGTCCCGGGTGTACTTTTTATTGACGAAGTACATATGCTGGATATTGAATGTTTCTCATTTCTTAATCGTGCGTTGGAGAATGAATTGGCTCCAGTCGTAATTATGGCGACAAACAGAGGTACGAATATGTCAACGATTAACTATATTATTATTATTGTTGTTGTTGTTGTTGTTGTTGTTATTATTGCTATTATTATTATTATTATTATTATTATTATTATTATTATTATTATTAACTAATTTCATCATTTGCAATTACGAAGGTATCACGAGAATCAGAGGGACAAACTATAAGAGTCCACATGGCATTCCGATCGACTTATTGGATCGTATGATTATTGTTCCAACAAGCCCGTATCAAGAGAAAGAACTAAAGGAAATTTTGAAAATAAGATGCGAAGAAGAAGATTGCGAAATGGCTGACGATGCTCTGACTGTACTAACGAGAATCGCTTTAGAAACGTCCCTGAGATACGCGATACAGTTAATTACAACAGCTTCTCTTGTCAGTCGTCGAAGGAAAACTACAGAAGTAAATAGGAATTACAAATCTTACGATCTATCGCATGAATGTGTTTGATAATAATGTTATAATTGTTTAAATTATATTTAGGTCAGTATTGAGGATGTAAAACGAGTTTATTCTTTATTTCTCGATGAAAATAGATCAACACAATTTCTTAAGGAATATCAGGACGATTTTATGTTCAATGAATTCCGTAAGTGTTGTACAATATAACTAAGATATATAGTTATATTGTATTTCTATATAATTCTTATGATTCGTATTTGTATAAAGTTTATCTATATTTCAACTATTTCAGCTGCAGTTGAAGAAGGCATGGATGTTTCTGCATAATAAACTATGAGTATAAAAACTAGGAGTATAAAACTAGGAGTATAAAAAAATGAAAATTTTTTTATTAAATTTTTTTAAAGTTACGATACGTTTCATAAAAATTAGTTACAATAGAAAATTTTTAAATGTGAAAAATAGTTGAAATATTTTTTCTATTATATTTATTATCAGCGTTATTTTTAGTTTATAATCATCAGATTTATACAAAATAAATGTTTTATCCTTTATTTTTTTAAATAAAAATTTAAATATCTTAGGTCATAGTAGGTAGTTTATAAGCTTTCTACACACACACACACGTATGTATGTATGTATGTATGTATGT